GATCTGTCTGGATGTACCTCGGCTTACCTGGACTTACCTCGACTAACCTTGCTCCGTCCAAACAAGTCGATTGGAGAAGAGGCGTCAAGCCCTTACGTCGTCGTCCTGCGGCCTGTCGTCCTCCTCGCCATCGCTCGGAGGTCCTACCCCGTGCATGTCTCGGCTTCGCGGGCGTTTTTCTTTCGCGAGATGATCCACAACGCTCCTCGATGGCCCTTGCCGAAAAAATCAAGGGCTCCCAACTTCGCGCTTCGCGCCGCGCGAAGCGCGAAGTGCGAATAACTTCGCGCTCTCGCGCCGCCTCCCAGGGGACAAGTGGAGGGTGAGGAGGAATCTGAGCCGAACCGCGAAGCGCGAATAACTTCGCGCGCTCGAGGGCGCCCTTGAAACATTCACACGTCCGAGTAATGCCAAACCTCCCGAAAACACTGTGAACTTTTCGGCCCGCGGCTCCCAACCCGCTTCCCTCGAGTCACGAAAGCGGCCCCCCCGGAGGCCGAGGGGGAAAAAGCCCGCCAGGAGTGAGCAAGGACAGCAATTCGGATGCCTGGGCATCCTCTCTCCTCGTCCTCGTCGTCCTCCTCCTCCTCCTCGTCCTCATCCCCCTCTTCGTCGTAGTCCTTCCCGTCCTCCTTTTGGTCCTCCTCCTGGTCCTCCTCCTCCTCCACCTCCTCCTCCTCATCATAAGCATCATCCTCTTCCTCGTCCTTCTTGCCCTCATCCACCTCGTCATCGACCTCACCATCCTCCTCGTCTGCGTCGTCATCAATATCCTCCTCCTCCTCCTCCTCATCATCATCATCATCATCATCAACAGCATCACCAGCACCATCATAATAAACATCAAGTACCTCCTCAGCATCAGCATCATCATTACCATCATCATCACCACCATCACCATCACCATCATTCATCATCAGCAGCATTACCATGATGATCTTCATGCTCATCATGATCCCCATCGTCCGAAGCATCATGACCATCACCACTATCAACATCATCATCAGCAACATCATCATCAGCATCACTAGAGTCAGCATCATCCGCATCATCATAATCACCAGCAGCATCATCACCGACATAATCAAAGCCATAATCATCAACAGCATCATCATCAACATCATCATCAACATCAACATCATCCCCATCAGCACCATAATCAGAATCCTGATCATCACCATCATCACAATCACGATCGCCTCAATCATCATCATCATCATCATTATCAGCGTCCTCATAATGATCAGTATTACAATCACCCTCGTAATCATCGACATCGTCATCATCATCCTCCCCACCATCACCATAATCATTATCCTCATCATGACCATCATCATCATCACCACTACCATCCTCATCATCACCATAACCACCACCATCGTCATCATAATCGCACTCACCGCCATCAGCATCATCATCTTCATACTCATCTCCAATCTTATCATCACCACCAGCAACATCATCATCATCATCATCATCATCATCATCATCATCAGCATCATCATCATCATCATCGCCACCACACGCATCATCACCCACATCATCACAATCATCAGCATCATGATGATGATGAGCATAGTCATCATCAGCAACACCATCATCATCATCATAATCATCAGCATCTTCATCATCATTATCACCTCTATCTTCATCAACATCAACATCAGCATCATCATCATCATTATCAGCGTCATCACGGCCATCTTCATCATCAGCAACATCGTCATCATCAGTACTATCATCATCGTCATCATGACGGTCATCATGATCAAAATCAGCATTCTTGTCATCCCCACCACAACCATAATCATCATCTGCATCATCGCCAACATCATCATCATCACCTTCATCATCACCCTCATCATCATCATCAACATCATCACCACCCATCATTTTCACTACCATCAACATCTCCATCATCATCATCATACTCCTCATCCCCACCGCCATCACCATCATCACCAACATCGCCACCATAAGCATCAGCATCATAACCATCAACACCAGCATTAGCATCCTCATCCTTATCCTCACCATTCTTATCTTCATCCTCAGCAACCCCATCATCACGATCAGCATCATCATCATCAGCAGCAGCACCATCCTCATCATCACCATCATCATAGTCACCATCATCAACACCATCATCTTCATCAGCATCCCCACCACCACCCTACTCATTACCCGCACCATCACTAATAGAAGCCGCATCACCATTACACCCATCATCATCCTCATCATAATCCCCATCATTACAATCATCATCATCACCACCATCACCACCATCAACGTCATCATCACCAACAGCAACACAATGATCATCATCCTCATCATCATCGGCAGCATCACCATCACCACCATCATCAGTACCAGGAATCTAATTATCACCATAACCATTGCTATCGTCATGTTAGTCATCATCTTTCATCACCATAAACATCATCCTTATGAACATTGTCATCATCATCACCCCAACCACCACCATAATCACCATCCAACATCATCATCACCATCATCACCACCATCTTCCTCATCATAACCACCACCATCGTCATCATAATCACATACACCTCCATCATCATCATCATCATCATCATAATCCTCATCAGCACCATCATCCGCACCATCATCACCACCACCGCCACCATTAACATCATCATCATCATCGTCATCCTCATCATCAGCATCATCACCATCATCATGATCGTCACCATCATCATCCTCAATATCACCAACATTGTGATCATCATCGTTAAAAACAGCAGCATCACCATCAACATCATCATCACAATCGTCATCATCATCAACACAATCATCATCCTCACCACCACCATGCTCATCATTTTCATCATACCCATCATCCTGACCATCATTATCATCATCATCCTCACCATCACCATCATCAACTTCACCACCATCGCCACCACCATCATCGTCAGCTTCATCATCACCATCATCCTTTTCATCACCATCATCATCATCATCATCAAAACCAGCATCACCACCGTCAACATCACCATCATCCCCATCACCATCCTCATCCTCATCCTCATCATCACTGATCATATTGATCATCATCATCACCGTTATCATCATCATCATCGTCGTCGTCATCATCATCACCACCACCACCACCACCACCACCACCATCATCATCATCATCATCATCATCATCATCATCATCATCATCATCATCATCATCATCATCCTGTCCTCCCCCCTCCTCTTCTTCCTCCTCCTCCTCCTCCTCCTCCCCATCCTCCTCCTCCTTCTCCCCCCCTCCTCCATTCATTTTCCTTATAGATAACTCGTCCCTGTCGCTCCCCCAGGCCGGTCGAAAGGGCGGGCCGGGCGTTTCGCCTGACTTCCTCACCATTTATGACCGCGATGCTGAACAAATGTCAAGCTTCACAGATGGAGGGCGGGTGGTTTTGAAAATGTGGCTCTTGCCCGAGCGCCCTGCACATTCGTTTCGAACATGTGCAAGAGTTTCACGGATTAGGGCGGGTCGTTTTCAAAATGTGGCTCTCGCCTTAGCGCCGCGCACATTCGTTTCAAACATGCGCAAGAGCTTCACGGATTGAGTGCGGGTGGTTTTCAAAATGTGGCTCTCGCCTTAGCGCCGCGCACATTCGTTCTTAACATTTCCAAGAGCCCCACGGATTGAGGGCGGGTCGTTTTCAAAATAAGGCTCTCGCCCTAGCGCTGCGCACACTCTGTTTAAACAATGGCACGAGTTCCACTGATTGAAAGCGATTCGTTTTCAAAATGTGGCTCTCGCCTGAGCGCCGCGCACATTCGTCCTAAATATTTGCAAGAGTTCCACGGATTGAGGGCGGGTCGTTTTCAAAGTGTGGTTGGCTCTCGCCTAAACTTGCATGAGTCTCACTTATGCTCACGGTTAACATACCAGAAATGATGCTTTGGAACCATTCAGGATTATCAGGGCGCAACAATTACGTTGACTCGCGGTGTTGAAGTCCCAGGACTGGTGTTCTGGCAAGATTCAGGATCGCCAAGACGTAACAGGACAGGTTAGCTCGTGGCGTTGACGTCCTGAGAATGGTGTTTTGGTGCGCTTCAAGTTGTCCCCCAACGGGGCAATTCCCTCAGTGGAAATGACCGCTTGTAGTGGCCTATGGAGAGGGATCTTGGAGCGGTGTGTGTGTGTGTGTTTCAACACTTGGGTTTACACTGGTCCTCCTCGTCCTCCTCCTCGTCCTCTTCCTCCTCCCCCTTCCTCCACTCCTCCCCCCCCCGCGCACCCTGCCTCCTCCTCCTCCTCCTCCTCTTCGATGGCCCCGCCCCTCTGCCGGCCTGCCGCCTGGTCGCTGGAGGCCTCCGACTCGGCCGACCGCCGCGGCGGCGGCTTGCAGGCGCCCAGCTTCACCAACTGCGGGGGCGCCCCGGGGGCGGAGAAAGGGCGGCCCACCCCACGCTCCTCCTCTCGACCTCAGGACCGAACGAACGAACGACCACCGGTGTGGACAAGTGTGCGTGGGCCTGCTCGGGACTAGGTGAGCGAGGCCGTAGCCTCCAGATGCTGTATGGTATGTTCCCCACTGGCACGAAGCCCACGTGCGAGCTCTGGCAGCTCAGCCGACTCGACGGCACCAGCAAGCCGCCCGGCACTCTCGCCCGACAGCCGAAACCGAACCCGGCGCGAGCCGTCCGGCACTCTCGCGCAACAGTCGGGAGGAGGGAGAGTGGCGGAGGAGGAGAAGGGGCAAGAGGGCAGAAGCGCTGTCCGACGATTCCCGGCGGCCCGAACAGGTCTTGAGCCCTCACCTGACTTTTTTGTATGTCCCGCATGCACGTCTGCCCGTACACCACAAAAGAAATCTCACACGTGACGTAGTTGTGTGAGACGAAAGACGACTCGCCATCGCTCGGACGTCCATTCCCTGTGCTTTTTTCGGTTTCGTGCGTGGATTTTTCGCCAAATGATCAAGGATGCTCCTCGATGGTCCTCGCCGAAGGAAAAATGCACACGTCCGAGCGATGCCGAGAGGAGGGAAGGGCGGAGAATCCTAGCAGTCGGTGTCGTCGTGTGGTGATACCGTGTCGCTGGATGCGTGTGTGCGTGTGTTCGCCACTGCTTGTTGGCACTGGTACTGTCAATATATGGTGGTCGGCGTTGGTGGTGGCTAGTCTTTGGTGGTTGATTTGGCGTGTGCTGCTAATGTTGCTGGTCGGTGCTGGTGGTTTGTGCTGGGCCTGGTCTCGGTGCGGGCGCAAGGCATTGGCAATCGATTCTGTAGCGCTTGGTTGCCTGCGGTCGGTGCGTGTGGTCACAGCGGCTCTGCCAGCGCTACTGCCGTGCGGGCATGAGAAAATTTGTACTAACAGACGGCTACGTGTCGCGACGAAGGCACTCTCGAATGAGTTCCGCCATGCCGCGTCTGCCGCTGTTGCATGAAGGGGCCCTGGGACACACAAATAAATAGACACAAATAACAGGGGTTCCCAATGTTTTCCCCTATCTTCTGGGCTTTTGTCTTCCCCCTCACTTCCCATGTTTTCCCATCTTTCTGGGGGATCGACGACGAATTGTGTCTCTGCGTTTTTTTCCTCCCGAATGCAGGCCGCCCCACGAGAAGCAGCAGAGGGAGGAGGCGAAGGAGGGGGAGGGAGGAGGAGGAGGAGGAGGAGGAGGAGGAGGAGGAGGAGGAGGGCCCGAGGGGGAGGGAGGAGGAGGGCACGAGGGGGAGGGCCCGAGGAGGAGGAGGAGGCGAAGGAGGGGGAGGGAGGAGGGGGAGGAGGGGGAGGAGGAGGAGGACCGAGGATCGAAGGCCGAGGAGGGCCCAGGGTCGAGGAGGAGGGGGGCCGAGGCTCGGGGAGGATCGGGGAGGGATGCAGGAGGATCGAGGAGGATCCAGGAGGACCTCGAGGGATCGGGGAGGATCGAGGAGGATCGGGGAGGGATCGAGGAGGAGGATCGAGGAGGATCGGGGAAGGTCGGGATTCCAAGTCGAGGACCTCGAGGATCGGGATACAGGAGGGTCGAGGAGGATCGAGGCGAATCCAGGAGGACCGAGACGATCAAGGACCTCGAGGGACCGAGGGTCGGGGGCCGAGCACCGAGAAGGACCCTAGAGGATCGAGGGCCGAGGCTCTTGGATCGAGCTCTCTGGGCGAGCTCCGGCAGGGCTGGACCCAAACGGTGTTTGGGCGATTTCGTGGGCCGTCTTCGTTTCGACCTCGTCCTGCGGTAGAGGCGGACGGAAGACGAAACGAGGGAAGACGAACACAGCACGAAAACGAGAAGCACCGTTCAGGCTCGGCCCTGAGCTTCGGAGGCCCCCTGAAGCCTCCGGAGATCCCCGCTCGACCTCTCGTGGGTCGAGCCTGCGCTGCCTGCAGCGGCAGCGCCACCCGGCGCCAGGCACCGTGCACGGCCGCGCCTCTCTGTGCGCCCAGCCCCACGTGCCCAGCAGCTCCCGCGGGTCGCCCCGCGCCACGCCCGCTCTCGTGGCTCCCGCGGTGCTCCCGCGGGCGCCAGGACCGCTGCAGAGGAGCCCCTCGAGGGCCGAAGATGGAGGAGGGTCGAAGATCGAGGATAGAGGGTCGAGTACTGGGGAGGAGCGAGGAGGATCCAGGGTCGAGGATAGAGGATCGAGGAGGATCGAAGATCGAGGATACAGTCAACCCGTGGAGCAAGGATGCGCGATGAGGATGCAAGGGCCTTGGACGCCCATTCCAGAGCCTTTCGAGCGGGGCGTGACCAACGACAGTGGCCAAGGATGGACCGAGGAGGCCAGGATGCAAGGGTGCCCTTGGGCAGGTTGCCCATCCTTACTTTGCGGGCTGACTGTAGAGGGTCGAGCACTGGGGAGGAGCGAGGAGGATCGAGGATAGAAGGTCTTTGGGCGCTTGGAGCGCTCGGGGGGGCGATCGCTCGGCTGGGGTGCCCCGCGGACGGGCCCACGGGTGCCGCGCGCGGAAGGAGCGCGAGCCCTCCCAGCTGCGGATCCCGAGCCGAGCGCGCAGCTTCCGTCCCCGGGAGGCTACAGCGCCTCCGGCGCTGCGGCGTGGACGGGCTCGCGCCCGTGCACGGTCAGGAGCTGGCGGGAGCGCTCGGCCGAGCGCTGCAAGTGTTGGGCGCGTGATTCGCCCGATTGCCTTCGTGATCGAACTGCAGGCCTCAGCTGGCTAGGCCAAGCGCATGTGTACGGTCGGATCGAGGAATAGGATCGAGGCCGGCTCGGGTAGGGTGCCCTGATGTTCTTCGTGTCTCTCGGGTGTTCCTGTGCATCCTGGGGGCGGGTACCTTCGAATGTTCTTCAGTTTGGCTGGCGCAGGGTCTCGCGTTCTTGAAGGGTGTTCTCCTGTCCTAGGCCCAGCAGTAGCACATCAGGGCTGAACCTAAACGGTGATTCTCGTTTTCGTTTTCCCTCGTTGTCTTCAATCCACCTCTACCGCAAACGGCCCACGAAACCGCCAAAACAATGTTTAGGTCCAGCCCTGTAGCACATCGCTTGCTGGGTGACGAAAGGCTGCCTCACGTACTGCGCACGTCCTAGGTCTGCCACGGCATGCCTCCGGCTTCTCACTCACCAGACCCAGGCCTCCCCTTCCCCCCTCCTCCTCCTTCTCCACTCCCGTTCTTCGTCCTCGCCCTCCTCCATTATCCTTATCATTCCGCCTCCTCCTACCCATCACCCTTCTCCTCTTCCTCCTCCTCCTCCTCCGAATCATCATCAACATCAAAATCATCATCAATCATCACCACCAATACAAACACCACAACCACCATCATCATCACCACCATCATCCCGGCTCCGTGCTCCCCGCCCCTTCTTCCTCACCACCACCACTCCCGCCATCGTCACCACCATCATGATCCTCCTCCTCCTCCTCCTCCTCCTCCTCCTCCTCCTCCTCTCCTCCTCCTCCTCCTCCTCCTCCCTCCTCCTCCTCCTCCTCCTCCTCCTCCCTCCTCCTCCTCCTCCTCCTCCTCCTCCTCCTCCTCCTCCTCCTCCTCCTCAGCCATTTCGCGTCCGAGCGGCCCCCCCTGCACCGGGTCCCTTGGACGATGCGGCGCGCAAACTTCAAAGTGGCGCTGCGCGCCCGAGTCATGAAGAAGCAGCGCGGAACCCCACGTCATCAGCTACAACGCTGAGATCAGGCGAACGCGCAGCTGCCAGGATGCCCGCCCCATCCCGCCCCCTCCTCCTCCTCCTCTCCGTTTCCACCCTCCTCCACCTCCTGGCAGACTGGGGCGCCAGCCGATGCGGCGCCGCGGGCAGAGTGCGGGGACAACAGAGTCGTGATCAGCTACAGCGTAGGGATCAGGCCGTGAGAGAAGACCAGCAGTGGCAGGCAGAGCTGACGCTGCGAGAAAGCAAGCAATGGCAGCCAGAGCTGGCGCTGCGACAGGGACGAAGGCGCGGGTGGGCCACGATCAGCTACAACGCTGGGAGCAATCCGTGCGAGAAAGGGAGCGCGCAGTGGCAGCGGACGCTGGCGCTGTGCAAAATGCGCTGGTAGGCCACGATCAGCTGCAACGCTGGGAGTCGTCCGTGCGAGAAGGAGGGCCTGCGAGAAGCGGGAGGCGAAGCTGGAGCCCGAGTGTCTCTTCTAGCTAACGCCTCTGGGAACAGCGCGGGTGAGAAAAGCGAGCAATGTTCTGCCGCGGCCATCCTGCGAGAAGCGGGAGGCGAAGGCAGAGCCCGATGTCGACAGCTACAGCGTTGGGATCGGGGCAAGCCGCTGCGAAAAGAGGGAGGCGAAGCTGGAGCCCGAGTGTCTCTACTAGCTAACGCCCCTGGGAACAGTGCGTGCGAGAAAAGCGAGAAATGTTCTGCCGCGGCCATCATGCGAGAAGTGGGAGGCGAAGGCAGAGCCCGATGTCGACAGCTACAGCGTTGGGATCGGGGCAAGCCGCTGCGAAAAGAGGGAGGCGAAGCTGGAGCCCGAGTGTCTCTTCTAGCTAACGCCTCTGGGAACAGTGCGTGCGAGAAAAGCGAGCAATGTTCTGCCGCGGCCATCCTGCGAGAAGTGGGAGGCGAAGGCAGAGCCCGATGTCGACAGCTACAGCGTTGGGATCGGGGCAAGCCGCTGCGAGAAGAGGGAGGCAAAGCTGGAGCCACACGTCGTATAGCTAACACCTCTGGGAACAGCGTGTGCGAGAAGAGCGCCACCCTGCGAGAAGTGGGAGGCGAAGGCAGAGCTAACATCTCTGGGAACAGTGTGTGCGAGAAGAGCGCCATCCTGCGAGAAGTGGGAGGCGAAGGCAGAGCCCGACGTCGTCTGCTACAGCATTGGGATCTTGGCAAGCCGCTGCGAGAAGATGGAAGCAATGCTGGAGCCAAACGTCACCTTCCTAGCCACCACCGTGCGCTGGGAGAAGCGGGAGGCAAAGTTGGAGCCCGACTCTATCTAGCGCTCATGATGTGCATCCAGGAAGCGGGGAAGCACTACGGCCTGGCATTCAATTGGAGCAAGATAGAAGCTGTGCCAATTCGGTGCCAGACCACGTTGACGAGACCGGGCGGCGCAGCAGTGCCGTGCAAGGAGAGCATGGTCTATCTGGGCGGCCTCCTGACTGCCAGGTGAGGAAGCGGCCCCGAGCTGAGCAGACGCTTGGGCATGGCAGCGGCAGACTTCAGTACGCTATGCCGTGTTTGGAATCATTGTAATATACCGTTGTCAAAGAAGGTGCGCATATTTGAAGCATGCGTCGTATCCAAACTCATGTACTGTTTGCACACCGTGTGGCTCAGCAAGGCCGAGAACAACAAGTTGAACGCATTCCAAGCACGGTGCCTGCGAAAAGTTGCCGGCATAGGGCATTCGTACGTGAGCCACATCACCAACGAGACCGTGCTTGGTACATGCGGGTGCAAAAAGTTGAGCTCTCTGCTGGCGTACAGACAACTGGTCCTGATGGGAGACGTTGCCCGGCAACCGGACGGCAGTGCAGTGAGGCGCTGCGCTTTCACGCCCGGGGGTTTTGACCTAGCCCGCCCGCGTGGCCCCCGCAAGCGCGGCCGGCCCA